CGTGGGACAATGTGAAGAGTGCATTTCTAGGGTTGAACTTTTCTAAACCCACCCCTCCTTATGGGAAGGCAGCATCGCCGTTATGATGGTTGTCTGAAGGAAACACCTTACTTCGGTCACACCTCTGTACAGTCAGCAGTACGTCTACGCCTTCGGACCTTTGGTTTGCTGCATGTAGTCTTACCGCTCTTCAACCGACCTGTCTGGCATGCTAGAACTCTGAGGAACGATTGTTCCAGCCAATATAGCTCAATCAGTTCGTCGCGATAGGCAAACCCGACCACCTCATCAAGGTAGTGGGGAAAGTTGGGATACCTGACAAGAATTGTAGTTAGTGTTCGATAGTTAGAGGCTTTTGTGAAATGAATTTTTGAGTCAGTCTTCAAGTTGTGGGATATTCCTATCGTTGGGAAATTAGTCTTATGGATATTTACAACTATGCTACTCATCGCTGCAGCCAGAAATACTATGCATCTAATATATCTTTAACTTCAGATAGTATCTTGTAGTGATTTGTCAAGGGTACTTACTGGTCGTTAGATGGTATTTAATGTTGTGTTATTTAGTCTCAGTGCTCATCAAGTTTCGTCAAAACGCATCCAATACAAATTCAAATGTTTTCAGTGTCGGGTGTCTTATTTTAGTGTCCTGATTAAAAATTTAATTCGTAGAATTAGATCATTTAATAATGTCAAACAATACGAAGGTTACTTTAAGACTAGTTTGTTAATCGTTAAATCCAACACCTCTCATTTCATTTGAATTATTTGTTTTTGACCAGGTTAGTAGCGAATACCTACAATTTTCAGTTTCTTCGGTTTACTAAAGAGAATGATTACTTTAGAAAATCCTATGTGGGAAAAAATTTATAACTATTGGAAAACCAGTATGTGAATTGTTATTATAAGCAATTTATCTATCCATGGGTTACTTATCTCTCAATTAACCATGAAGTAAATGGAATATTAACACTTCGTATATCTTTATCAGCTGTAGACACTCTATTAGGCTTTGAAACAAAAAAAGATTAATAACTAACACATTCATTGACAGAGGTCTTCAAGCATTATTCGTCCTTTAAGGAGACTCCAATATATGCTAAGTTATCGAAAGTCTTTTATTGCAAAATAAATGTATTTTTGGTTATCAGTGAAATCTAAAAAGCGCCATTTGTTCCATTTCGGGCTCATTTGGATACATCTACGTTCAGTGTTGATGTTCACACTGGGACTCAAACCCTGCATTTTTTAATTCAGACGCTCAGCGTTCTATCCACCGAACTGCTGAGTTCAAATAGCCACCGACGTTCGCAAGGAGTATGATATTTTTATTATTAAAAAGGATTTGAATTTGCTGTTGATAATCCTGTCAGTCAGTCAGTCAGCTACAACGTAGGACCAGGCACATTTATGCATCGGTCCAAGTTGCCATACCTCGTTAGCACAACAAGATGAACACCGGGTTCATAGAAGTAATTAATTTAGTGGTGGTAGTAGTATATAAATTATAGGTTGTATATAAGGATATAGTACAGGAAGGAAGAGAGATATGAAGCAATTTTAGTCTCAAGGTTTAAAGGAAGATAAAGAGTGTATACACCTACGCCATTGTGATCGATTCTGAGCCATGTCACCTAGAGTCTCCAACCGTTGGTTACGGTAGTCACGCGGACCCCAACCAGGTAGTCTGCATCTGCCAACATGGCTCAGACTAGAAGTTAGTGACTTCGAACACTGATGCCATGTTTTGGTTTGGCCGCCCCTAATTCTCTTCCAACAATCCCCTACACTAGTCATCATAGCGCGTCGTGGTAATCGGTGTTCAGGCATACGTAACACATGGCCCAACCATCTCAGTCGATGAAGATTCATAACCTCATCAACTGATTTAACATAATTCCGTAGTATCCTGTGTCTAACCTCACTATTACTTCCCCGGTGGTCCCAGCAGATGCGAGCAATATTTCTAAGGCATCTGTGGTCAAATACTAGTAACCTACGAGTATCTTCTACTCTTAATGGCCATGTTTCACAGCCGTAAAGTAGGACAGAGCGAACTGCTGCGCAGTATACTCGTCCCTTAATTGATAGACGGATATCTCGTCTACGCCATAGGTGACGTAAGTTGGCAAAAGCCAAACGAGCTTTTTGAATCCGTGCTGAGATTTCGTCAGACACCAACCCATTAGGGCTGATCAGACTTCCAAGATAAGTGAAGTTGTCAACGCGTTCGACTACTTCACTCCCTATCCTTAGTTCAGGTGTTGATGCAGGCCAGTCCTGGAGTAACAATTTACATTTGGATGGGGAGAATCGCATCCCAAACATCCTGGCATTATTACTGAGTTCCAACAGAAGACTCTGCATTTTGCCAGCGTCTTCACCAAACAGGACTATGTCATCTGCGTATTCTAAGTCGCTTAGTGGTCCCCCTGGCAGGAGATCAATCCCTGTAAATTCAGTCGAAGAGAGTGTTATTTCCAGCAACAGGTCTATAATGAAGTTAAACAAAAATGGGGATAGTGGACAGCCTTGACGGACACCACTTGAGGTTGTAAAATCATATGACAGTTCGCCATAAGCTCTCACTCGACTGGTAGTGTTCGAGTAAAGAGCCTTCACAAGGTTTATGTACTTCTCAGGTACACCTTTCAATGACAGACACTGCCACGGAGTCTCTCGGTCTACAGAGTCAAATGCTGCTTTCAAGTCAAGAAAAACTATCATTGTCGGACGCCGATAAGCGTGTCTGTGCTCTAAAACTTTACGAATGGTGAATATGTGGTCGATACAGCCACGACCAGGTCTGAAGCCAGCCTGATTTTCTCGTGTTTGCAGTTCACGAGTCTTAGTTAGGCGCCCGATAATTATTGAGGCTAGTATTTTAGATGCTATGTTGGTCAGACTAATCCCTCTATGGTTATCGCAGGATGGTTTTGACCCCTTTTTATATATTGGGACAATCAGTGATTGTGACCAGTCGGATGGGATTACATCCGTCTCCCAGATTTTAGCCAGAATATTAGTCAACGTAATCGCTAAAATCGGACCACCATATTTAAAGACCTCTGGAGCCAATCCATCTGGACCAGTTGCTGTTCCTCGTTTCAGATTACCTATAGCCTTTTGAACTTCAAGTAGGGTCGGGGGGCCTACTTCAATGTTCCATTCAGGTTTTCTAGGAATAGTGGGTAGTTGTGCAGTAGCTGAAGGCCAGCTAAACTGCTCCTTAAAGTGTTCCGCCCATCGTTCTAAACGTTTGGGTTGAGAGCAGATAAGGGTTCCGTCTTTTTCGGAGATTGTCTCACTTACACTTGACTTCTTAATTCCGGTTTCTTTTATTAGTCTGAATAGTTGCCTGGTGTTCCCTACTATTTTATTATTTATTTATTTAAACACACAAATATTGGTACAATGAAGCACCAGATAAATATGCGCCTCACAAATCTCATTCGATTTGTGTGAGGGCTGTGATACTGCCCAGGTGCCCAGACTGAAGCAGGTGGTTTTCTTAGGGGGCCACACCCGGAGCCTTTGACCTGAATGTCTGATCCACAAGGCAGTGGAGCATCGTGAGGAGATGCAGTACCATGTTAGCCGTTGACCAATGACAGGTTCGTCCGCCATTCGTTCCATCAGGATACTGGAGCCCATGTGCACCATTGGTTTGGAATCAGGGTTTTCCAACTCCTCTAGGTGGACCCTGCGTGTCCACCAACCTGGTTAAAGCTTCGGACATTCGCTTTTCGTCCTCTCACTTTCGTAAACAACGCCCCCGCCACCAGAAGGCACTGAGTAGGACTTCCCTGGCAGAGGCTATATATTCGCTGGCCATATGAGAGTATTTCGAGAGGGAGAGGTGACTCTCCCCACTCTCGGCCGTACCAGGGCATTTGGGGGTGGTGTTCCCTACATCCGCTGCCTTTTCCATCTCTTTTGCTTTCGTTGCCCACCACTGCTCACGATCGTTCCTTAGACTTTTAGTTAACCTAGATCTAATTTCTTTACGCTCTTCGTCATGTTCAGAGCCTGATGGGATGAGTTTACGCGAATCCATCAGTGAAATAGACTTAGAAGAAATCCATTGGTTTTTTGAACCCTATGGTTTAAATGACTAATAGATGTAACTGCTGTTTCCACAGCTGTTCGTATGTCTTTCCAAGCATCATCTGTGTCGATCTTGTTTACAGAACTGCCTAGATGTGAACTCAGTTGTTTCTGGAATTCGCATTTGGCTTTCTCGTCCTCCAGTTCAATCCTAATGGGTCTTCTTAGTGTACTTTTCCTGCGTCCATTGAGGCGCAGACAAATGCGCGCTCGTATTAAAGTGTGATCAGAGTCTAAACAAGTATTCCAATACGAGAATCCTGACTAAATTCTGATCAGTTCTTGTCGACCTACATGCATCCTGTTCAGATACCCTCTATATAGTCATCCTCAACATGCCTTTATAAAATAAATGTGCTGAGCTGTACGTAATTTCTTTAAATGCTCCCATGTGAATTGGCAATTATCATGGTTTGTACCTATAGTAGTGGTTGTAGATGTGCACGTCAGAAGAATCCAGAACTTAGATAAAATTGCTGTTCAGTGCTTTCCGACTTTTTACGGTACCTTAGTTGATGTCAGCCTATGGTAAAAACTATGTCTAAATTGACGTAGTATCCACAATATCATCCACCTGAACATTAAACATCCATTCAATTTTACTCTCATCAATAGACAAGATTCTAAGCTTAAAAAACTAGAAATCCTATGCTGAATTGATGTATTAAAATAAACTTGCGTTTCTATAAAGTAAACTTTATTTTCACAAGACAGATTCTTTCTCAACTAAGCAATTTGTACTTCGTTGTTCCTGTTCTTGTTGATCTAAGTTCATCGATATCAAATTCTTACCTACTTTACTTAAAATATTTGTTAAAGATGAATACTCTTCCAAATGACTTGTATTAGCGATTAGATTGTCATTAAAATAATTATCCGAATTTTTTTCTGCAGAATCACTACGTTTATCATTTGGGTTGATTACTCGTAAGACTGATCGTGTTTTATTGAAAGTTGTTACATTATCAACTGTATCAAAATATACATTTGTTTGACATTTTGATGTATTATGATAAGGATTGATGGATTCCGATTTAATAAATCGTCTTCGTCGATTTGGTGATGAATCTAACTTTGGTAGGATCACATATTGTATTTCTGTTTTGTTTGGTGACATTGTGTGATAATTTTCATGTTCATTATAGTTTGAGTGGTTATCAACAACGGGTATAATAGTTACTTTATGATGTGTATCTTTTGATAATCGATTAATGTGCTTCCTTGGAGTGGTAATAATAGTGGTAGTTGTTGTGGATGTTATTGCTTTTGGATAACCTTCTGTATTCAATTTCGTATGAATATTGACATTGGAGTGGTTTTTCATTTTTAATCTATGTTTATCACCACTTTTTAGCACCCTTGATTGAGACGATTGATCCGATTTCTTGACAGGTCTTTTTTTTCCCCTGGGATACTCATATGGATCTAATGTTATTATTTTATTATGAAAATGATTCCCATGTAAACTAAGAAAATAATAAAAGTGAAATGTTAGTACATACATTTATGTATAATTTGTTGTGATCAGTTTAGTCTGATTAGTTTTCTAAAATGTTGATCACTTTACTCTAACTCATTAGTCTGAAGGCAAGCGTGCTAGTTCGGAGATTCTAAAGTTTGAGAATTTATCCCATAAGGTTGTGGACAACCTTCGATAATTCAATGACTTATAATACGCAGGTAATATAGTCCTGTTTAGCTGAGTCTTTTGGTAGCACTGAGTAACAATGCTAGGATGTTTGGAATGCGTTTCTCCCACTCTAAATGCAAGTTGTTGCTTCTGGACTGGCCTGCGTCAACACCTGAACTAAGGATAGGGCGTGAATTAGTCGAACGTGTCGAAAACTTCACTTATCTTGGACGTCTGGTCAGCCCTAATGGGTTGGTGTCTGACGAAATCTAAGCACGGATTCAGAAAGCTCGTTTGACTTTTTCTAACTTACGTCACCTATGGTGAAGGCGAGATATCTATCTATCAATCAAGGGACGAGTATACTGCGCAGCAGTTCGTTGTGTTCTACTTTACGGCTGCGAAACGTGGCCATTAAGCGTAGAAGATACTCGTAAGCTACTAGTATTTGGCCACAGATGTCTTAGGAATATTGCTCGCATCTGCTGGGACCACCGGGGAAGTAATAGTGAGGTTAGACACAGGATACTACGGAATTATGTTAAATCAGTTGATGAGGTTATGAATCTACATCGACTGAGATGGTCGATCCACGTGTTACGTATGCCCAACCACCGATTATCACGGCGCGCAATGCTGGCTAGTGTTGGGGATGGTTGGAAGAAAGTTAGGGGCGACCAAACCAAAAGGTGGCATCAGTCCTTTAAGTCACTAACTTCTAGTCTGAGCTATTTCGGTGGATGCAAACTACTTGGTTGGCGTCCGCGTGACTATTGTAAATCTAGAAGAAAACTCAAAAATCCTGTCCCCACAAATTTCTCGTCGGTTATAATGTTTTTATTTATAAACTTGTTTCTTTGTGATTTATTGGTTAAGAACCTTCAGTTTTAAATGTTCCCTCTTTTCTCACTTGTCTAATTGTACTTTGATATTCATACAGGAAGTAGCATAATTCTAAGGTCATTACACGAATCAATGTGCGCTCCTTAATCATCTACAAATTATATCTAGCAGTAAAACTTACAATTAGAACAAATAGTTTACTTACTTATTGCACTGTTTATTTGGTGAATTCCGTTTTTGTAAAGATTTTTGGAGTTCATCCAGTTGATTTTGTAATAATTCAACTTGTTTAGCATAGTTTTTTGATGTTATATCACAAATTGGATTATCGCATTTATATTTAGCAAGTTTCATGTTCATAGTTTGTTTATTTTGTTCAGGCAAGTAGCATGTATGATTCGCAGTCTGAATGTAGAAAAATTTATATAAGGCAATCATGTTTAATTGGTAAAATGCTAATAGTAATAAAATTAATCGACCAGTATTTAACAATAATATATTGCGAATTAATTGATCGTGAGAAATTGATGTCAATAGATCACTTGTTTTGGCTTACTAACACTAGTTGTCCTCACGGGTCAACCTTAACCAGTTGATCAACGAAAATCGGGCAATTGTACACAAGTATTTTACTGTAGTACTGTGTATTTACTCTTTTCCAGGAACCGATCTCAAAGGCTTCAAGGGAATGGGTTACTTTTAGAAGGCTGTCTTGGCATTCAGTGGTTCACATTCATAAATGCAGTCAGTTCATGTTGCTGCTGAATATTTCACCACAGGATCAAAACAGCTCAGTAATATTACCTGATTTTGCTTAGCTCAATTTACTGCATGATTTAGCAATCTTTGTAAACCCCCTATTAAATAGTTTTGTGTTAACAAAAAGATTTCCGTTGTATGTGTGTGTTTCACCTGTAAATTTTAATAATTTTTCAAATGATGGAATATCGTAATATCTTTATGGGAAGTTTGATTCTGTTTTCTGTAGTAAGCTAGTTAGATTACATTTTTAAACTAGTGAAAAATGCTGCTTTGAAGGATAAATTTTAAATGACGTATCCTGTAACCAATCCACTACATCACATTCGAATAACAATCACTGTTTATCTAGTTCTGTTTCGGTATCACGTTCGCTATGCATCAACCATTAAATTTGAATAGGAGTTGGGATTGTTGATGGTCACATAACTCCCAAAAATATCACTGACGTTTTAAAAAAAACATTTCAAATTTTAGTTATGTTCATGCAAGTTTCTCTACTGATCTTTCCTAGCTTTCTTATGTTTGTCAACATTGAGGAGTAATTTTTCCATATATTATACACAACATTTTTGTGATTTATCGACTATTATTTATTATCGCCTATTCCTCTTTATTAATTCTTTTAATTTCTACCTATACTTTTGAGCCAAACATTTTACAACACTTTGTAATACCTTAAATTTTATCAGTTGAGTTGATGACGAACATTCTGACTAACTTATAAATAAATATTTGTAATCTAGAAAACAACCAGATAATTTTATTCTCATCAAATACAGATATTCTCTTTGCTTTTTCCGACAATAAAGTACAAGTGCACTGGGATCTATACATGTAAAATGAAATGCGAGAGCACTCTAATTTTTTTCGTAACGTAAATTTATCTGACGTAAAGGTTGTAAAGATAGAACGAACTTAAGGTTTCTGCGGATGAAGACGTGGTGCCGCTGGTTACTACTGTAAAGACGTAAACATACCTAATAAATTTGTGGCTGCACATAAATATTAATTGTAGAGATTTTCGACTGGAATGCAATCACATCCTGGACTTCACTATTAGCCATTAGCCATAATATAACTTTCACTTGTGAATAGTTTAATTAAAATCCAGAGAATGTTAATTCAACGTCTTTCAAATTTGTTAGATAACTTATATGAATTGAAAAGATTGCGTGACATTTTTAACTGTTTCAATCAAATAACATGTGATACTTAAATACTATTATATTCCTAGTTCAAATTTACCAAATTAAGTCTACCGAACCAATTGGCTTGATTGATTTTTTGTAATTTTGGTTTTGCATACCAATAGAATGTGTATTCAATTAATAAGAATACAGTGCAAATAAGCATTCCGCAAACAAGTAAAATGAAAGCACTGATAAAATTCTTAACTCCTAATGTCTTATTTGTATTCCCAACAGCAGCATCTTTTTTACATGAACCTGTTTGCCAAAATTTTTTCCAACGTTGCAATTTTCCTAAACAAAAAGAAGACATGAAGTAATAATGAATAACACAGTCAGTTACTGTTAAGTGATTGTAAATTCGTCTCATAAAATCATAAATAAAACTGAAGCCATTTAATGTAATGTATTTATTGAATTGTTGTTCAGGCATAATCGAAGTATATCATTTACTAACTAAAGCTTAATCTCATCGATCTTAAGTGAAACAAACATTACAATGTTTGGTTTTGATTTCTAAAATAGGACAATAGATTGTAATGGCCGTTACAAAAATATTCATTGTCTAGAATCACGAATTGTATTTTCCTATCTTAGACAACTTTACTTTTTTATCATCTGTGAATACGGTGACTTTCTAGAAGTTATAATACAAATAACTTGAGTTTTTGAAAAATAAGTATGAGTCAATCCCTAAACCAATGTTATTACCGAATTCACTTGTTCATATGATCTAAGCTTACGAGTTGATCACTAAGTTAAGTGATTTGACACAACAGTGTGATATGTTGAGGATAAGTCAAATGAAGTGCTCGCAACTTAGATTTTATTCATGTAACTAGTTTGCCGATCTTCAGTATGAGGTATGCAAGGCATATCTGTGAAGTTGGAGGGTGTGAACCTATGGACCACATTATCAAATGTAAAGAACTCAACTACAAGATATGCAAAGTGCATCATTATTTTGAGTATAAGCTGCCGAAAATATTTTACAGAATGTAGAAAAGAAAATTTATATTTTGATTAACTCACCATTTTTTTGATAATCCAAAATGCGTGAATTAACTTTCGTTAACCATCGACTATTTTTAGCAAAACCAATTCCATAACCCGTCATTGCATATAAATTTCCAACTGTACGTAATTTACAACCTTCATCTTTCATCGCCCAATAATCCAATACATTAGCATCATATAAAAAAGCATCCAGTTGTCTAATAAGAGTTAAAATAGTGATTTAAAAAAGAAAAACCCTTAAAAGGTTAACAGATTTATATTAAGTCCACGAAATGATCCAAGTTCAACAACCATTAAAAACCTGAAAGGACTTTTCATGTTGTGTGAAGCTCCTGAACAGTGCTTATTCAAGACCCCGTAGCCGGGAATCGTATTCGGAACCTGCTTTTTACTTGAACTCCTGGAATTTCCTCTCGAAGCTAGACACCAATGAATACATGATAATTGTCAGTATAGGGTATGGCAACTTGAACCTATGTACATGCGTACCAGGTTCTAAGTTGTAACTGACTGACTATCAGTATAGGGCTATGGAAACAGCTGGATGGGCACTGCTGAGAAGTCCCATACTAGAACAAAGTGGCCATTCAGTGCTTCCAGGTTTTCAATAGTTGTCTAACAAAAATCAGTTCGTGATCTGGTTAAAATCCAATCTTCACAACCTCATACTGGGAAACGGGTTATTAGTTTTCTGTTATAAAAGTTAAAGAAAAATAACAGAGTATGGTCTAGCCGCCTCTATATTTTTGAAACAATTTCTATTCGGCTACCAATCTTACTATTTTTCTATGTATGCCGTAGTAGGTGTTTAAGAAATTTCAATTTGCCAGTTAAAACTTAGGTTCTTAGACTTAAATCCTCGGTTTATTTTATGCTTTGAGTAGTGCCTAGTTAGTAATAATTTCAGTTATTGGGAAGTTTATAATTGGAATAATTTAAATAATAGTTTGATGAATTATAGAATGAGATTTTGTATACATAGATGTTGATCCTAACATTGAGTTCAGAAGTGCATATTCTAATAATATTATGATCTACGCAGTTTCGAAATACCATAGAAAATATTTCATCACTAAACATGGGGATTTTACTATCATTTACTTTATTAAAAAATATAAAAAACCCGTTATTCCGCGATGAGACATTCACAGTTCGCATATTCCTTGTAATAATTAGTCCATTCTGTTCATTGCATAAATGTTTCGTTTTAGTATACAAGTGTATAGTGATTTACTCTTTATTCGTTATCTAAACAATATGATAATGCTGGGTTCATTTCATAATTCTTATTCCCTCTAGGTCACATGTTTGATATTCCTATTGGGTGGAATTTCAACAATCAGTTATAATGTATAGTCTAGTCGTACCTACGGTTTTCGAACTTTGTTAACAAAATGATAATAATGAACCAATTATATTACTATAAAACTATTCAGGAATCTTTTGAAATCGGTTTTTTGAAGGTATGCCTAGAAATTCGGATAATTATTGCAATATATGGTCAGCTTTTTCGGTATATATCCTCCAAGTGTAGGCATAATTCACAGATTGACTTTAGTTGGGATATCATTGAAAAATATGGGGCACTAGATAGATTTTTTGCCTTGGGATGGAGTTTTATAGAAGTGCATACTCACGAGATATCGATCACAGGATCTTAACGTCTCATGAATAACACTTGACATTTAGACCACTGGGGTCGTGAGTATACACTTGTAATACGTTTTATACCAAGACCAAATAGTACTTCTTGGTTTTCAATGGTTTTGCAGTTGATGTCACTCTTTGGTAGGAACTATCTTCTTTTTCAAATAACGAAAGAGACCCGTTATGTGATTAAAAAAGAATTAAAGTAATTCGACGATTTTATTTACTTATGCTGCACAATCGTATTTATGATTAATTTTATTTGCTAAAGTAGTAGTCTGTAGTTAAATAAAATGGTGTTGAGTAGTTAAAATACTTGAAGTGGTATCTTGTGGTGAATGTTTTACGAAAATCAAATGTTGAGTGGTAGTTATGCTGTACACAAGTTTTTCATTTACATTCCTCTTGAGTCGACTCTCCTGACTACTTATATACATTTGAAGGAGGCTTTTGGTCAGGCGGAGTGGCCAGAATTCTTAGTTTTGTGAGGGACAAGCTCCCACTTTTGGTCAAATCAACATCCGTCTCTCAGTTAACTTGCTTATATGGAGCAGATTATATTGGTCACACAAAGAGATATCCTCCGACACGCATCTCCAAATACTACCGTCTAGCTTTTTAAAGGATTATGTAATTCCCCCCACTCCGCCTTGCCAAAAACCTCTTTCAAAATCATACACATAGCAGGGTTGAATCAAAAGAAACGTAAATGAAAAACTTGTGTACAGCATAGACTAGTGCTATGCGCCAGTTCAAGCCTAACATTTGCGTACTGAGAAGAGTATGTTCAGTCCCTCATTATTCTATGGTCATAAACTTCCTATCTTCCATAGCCCATAATTGTCATTTTAAACTACTGTTTCTACTCTTCTCCAATTATTTTCACACCTATTGATTAGCGATTATTAAAACTTTCAATTATTCTGTTCTTCAAGTGAACAATTATCTTCACCTTAGCACCTTTCACTAGCCGATGATTACATGACTCCCTTTCAATATTTGATTTTCGTAAAATATTCATTACAAGATACCACTTCAAGTATTTTAATTACTCAACACCGTTCTATTTAACTACAGACT